TAATCACTTTAAACTCGTCACGGATCAGCGTTCTGTTGCCTTCATCTGCGGCAATCAGCAAAAAGAGAAGGTCAAGAATGATAAGATCGAACGCTGGAGGTTGGAACTGTCACCATTCAAATTTGACATTGTCTACCGACCTGGTAAATAAAATCGAGCGGCGGACACGCTTTCCCGTAATTACTGTGGCGCCCTACTAACCAGTGTCGATTTGAAAGAACTACACAAGTCAGTTTGTCATCCCGGTGTCTCTCGGCTTTCGCACTTTGTTCGAACTCGGAATCTCCCCTTTTCGATGGAACAGATTCGTAATGTCGTTGCTAAATGTCAGGCCTGTTGTGAAGTCAAACCCCGTTTCTTTAAAACACAAGGCCAACTCATCAAAGCCACCCAGCCGTTCGAACGATTGTCACTCGACTTCAAAGATCCTCTTCCGTGGGCAACTTACAACCGCTACCCGCTGACGATTATTGATGAATATTCTCGTTTCCCGTTTGCGTTTGCCTGTCTTGATCAGACTGCCGGAACTGTCGTTAAATGTTCGTGTCAGCTCTTCTCCACTTTCGGTACTCCTTCGTACACACACACACACCGACCGGGGATCGTCATTTATGTCAAATGATGTTCAGAAATTCCTTTGCAGTAAGGGAGTGGCGACTAATAGAACAACTCCGTACAATCCCCAAGGAAATGGGCAGATCGAACGTCTGAACCAAACTTTATGGAGGACTATATTGCTTGCTCTAAAATCCCAAAATTTGCCCGTCACACACTGGACATCCGTCTTACTTGACGCTTTACACTCAATTAGATCACTTTTGTGTACTGCCAGTAATGCCACACCTCATGAGAGAATGCTTGTCTACAACAGAAGATTAACTACTGGCACTACTCTCCCCATATGGCTTACCTCTCCTGGCAGATTTCTGCTGAAGAAGAGCAATCAACAGTCTAAGTTCGATCCGCTTGTTGAGGAGGTAGAACTACTCCAATGTAACCCCCAATACGCTCATATACGATTCAGTAATGGCAGAGAAGAAACGGTGTCTGTTCGACTGCTTGCTCCCAGCGGCGAATAGAATGTTGGTGATTGTCACCAGGAGACGGCCACGCCGGTACCAAAAAATTTCTTCCCACTTTCCCCTGACCACCCAGCAATTACCGAGCAAGAAGGTATCACCGTTTCAACTGACGAACAGAATGATGCAGCACCTGTTATTGTACCGAAAGCTGACGATGTCCGTGTGCATAACCTAGAGACACTAACCCCACAACAACAACGTGTTCACCCATACTGTCTTCGCAACAGAGACGCCTGAACTTTGCTCCATGCAAACTTTTCCTATCGATTATTGACATCTCGATTCCTCCATTTGTTGGCCGGGGTGATTGTCATGTTAACATAAGCCTCTGTCTAAATTCCATCTTAACTACTACTTCTCTATTTCTCTTTTTAGATCCAGTGCGTCAATTGTAATGTGAATAGAGCCCTGTTATAGGGTGTTCTCGTTCTGACCCTTGTATCCGTATTTGATCGTTCTCTCAATCTCATGTACTTGCCACGGTCCTAGCTACAACACCCAGTAAAGCCAATACCTAATGACAGGGGCATGAATGAATCCATCAGAATGCATCTACTCCATCATTAAGGGTTCTGCCTGCTTTTGTCTACCTAGAGTATGGATGATGCTATATTGCATCCCCATTTCCATCGAATATTGCTCGCAAGTCAGCCTATCTACCATTAGAACACAAAAGGCCACAGGTAAGCAATACAGTTCGACCATCGGTTTCGATGATGTCCACCGCGTGCCCCACATTTGCAGCAGGAATGGGAACAGGGACGTTGACTTACGTAAGGGTTTTTATTGCCGGTAGACTTGCGTAGCATCTACCTACACTCTCTCCTCCTCCGTCGCCCGTGCCCGGTGTCAAGACAGAAAGAAGAAGACCGGAGACGAGGGAGGCCGCAGGTGGATGGCTCTAACGTATCCTCACCTTGGCGTTCCACCACACCCCCTGGTCCACACAACAAATGACCAGGATTTCAATCAACACTACAGAGATTTGGAGGCTGGCACGGCCGAAGCCGCACCTTTGCGTGCCGCCGTCACCTGGCTCGGATCCCACACTGTGGTGGGAGTGCCATAAAGGCCACATTAAAAAGGAGCCATTGCAGCCTGACTCTCAGACCGCCTCCAGTCAAGGAGGAGGTCCAAGTTACCCCGTCAGTTGGCAACCTTCCAAGCCACGGCTTTTAGCGCACCGTGATAACTTCAAGCGCGTCAGATTGTTCATAGTGAGGAGAGAGTGCGCTGAGTCGTCGACCTCACTCTCCCTTCCCATTCCCACACCCCAGCCGCCGTCCGAGCCGGTTGGCAAACTGGAGTGGGGAATGGGCGCGGTGGCTGGCCCGGTCGACTGACCATGACTGCGCGCGCCACGGCAAGACCTGGCCTCCCATACACACAACGCCAGGATTTCACACAACGGGGGTTGAACGGTGTGTCTCTCACTTGCGTGAGTGTCGTGGAAGGTGCTGTTTCGGCCCGTCCCCAGCCCACCAGTTCGCCACTCCACTCCACACAACACACAGAACGCAACGAACTGCGTAAACCGAGAGCGGGTGTCAATCAGCAACCTTCCTATCCGCGACGCTTGACGTGTCGGCATAGTCTCGGACTCAAGTCACCCGTGCAGCCGAAGCCGTATGGGGACCGAGTCGAGATGCGAACTTCCAACTTGCGTGGGGGGTGGCAGTTGGGTGCATGAGGTGTGTGAGTGTTGATTTCTGGTGGGATGATGGTGGTGGTGGTGGTGGAGGAGGAGGTAGGGAGTGAGTGAATGTGTGGTGTGACCGGCGGTTGTCTACCACAGGTCGTCGTGGATGTGCATGCGGCCGAATAGGCCCATGCGATGCCTGAAAGTGCGAGGGCAGTGTGGGCAGTTGAGACGAGCTTGGCGGGTATAGGTGGATGCTCCAGGCACTGGTTCGACAGTCTCTGTGCGATGGATTCGCAAGTGACCGACCAGGCCGATGCGTGAGGTGAATGTGCGTGGACATTGTGGGCATGAGAAGTCGGCGGTGTCAGTGTCAGCTAAAGAGGAGGCGGTGGTGGTAGTGGTGGTGGTGGCGCAGACGGATGGAGCGAGGGTGGGGGTGTGCACGGTGGATGTGTTGGATGTGGTGGGTGTGTCGGGAGTGCGGTCAAGGCCGCTCTCGTGGATGCGCATGTGTCTGAAAAGGCCCATGCGATGCCTGAAGGTGCGAATGCAGTGTGGACAGTGGAGGCGAGTGCGGTGGGTGTAGGTTGGTGCTTCAGGCACTGGTTCGCCAGTCTCTGTGCGATGGATTCGCAAGTCACCGACCAAGCCGATGTGTGAGGTGAAGGTGCGGTCGCAGTGAGGGCAGGTGTAGTCCTGATCTTCATCGCTGGAGCCGGGGGAGGTGGTGGTAGTGTCGGTTATTGCGCGCGGGACAGTCGCCTGAGCGGCCGTCGTTGGACCAGTGGGCGAGGAGGAGGAGGAGGAGGAGGAGGAGGAGGAGGATGGAAGTGGTGGGTCAGAAGAATTGTCAGAGTTAGTTGGCGGCGGAGAGGAGGAGGAGGAAGAAGCGGGCGGGGCGACGATGGTTGGTGCAGTTCGAGAGGCGCAGTTAATCCGAAGATGTCCAACAAGTCCGATTCGAGCTCGAAATGTCGGTTGACATCGAGGAGACGTTGGAAGCGGTTGTGCAGCGGCGTTGCGTACTGGGCGAAGTTGTGATTTGCGGGCTTCGCGTTTCGCTTTGGCGGCGGCGATGCGGTTGGCTTCGTAGATCGCAGTGCCTGTCTTCACTGTCCTCCTCCAGGTCGGTCGATCGAGTGCGAGCTCCTCTCAGTTGGTGGGGTTGATTTGCAGGCGTTTCAGGGAGGACTTCAGGGAATCCTTGTAACGGCGAATCTGGCCTCCTTGACGGCGAGAACCCGTCGTGACGTCTTCGTAGAAGAGTCGTTTGGGTAGTCGCTCGTCGTCCTTGCGCACAAGGTGGCCGCTCCAGCGCAGCTGCATTTGCCTCAGTATGGCGTAGATGCTGAGGATTCCCGTCCGTTCCAGCACATCAGTGTCAGGGATTCGATCCTGCCAGCTCAGCCTCAGGATGCCACGAAGACAACTGAGGTGGAAGTGGTTCAGACGGCGTGCCTGCTTTGCATACACCGTCCAAGTCTCCGCTCCATATAGTAGTGTCGGCAGGATGACGGCCTTGTACATCTTCAGCTTCGTGCTCAGCTGAAGACCGTGGCAATTCCAAACTGTGCTTTGGAGGCGACCGAAGGCTTGACCGGCTTTCGAGATCCTGTTGGCGACTTCGTCATCGATCTTGGTGTTGCGGGAGAGGGTACTGCCCAGGTACGGCAAGTTCTCCACCACTTGCAGTTGGGTCCCATTTACGTTGATTTGCGGCGCGTTGGGGGGTGTGGCTGAGTGCGTTGGCGGTTGGTGCATCACCACCGTCTTCTGCGTGTTAATGACCAGACCGAAGTTCTCGCAGGTGCCGGAGAACAATTCCATGCTCCGTTGCATCTCCTCTTCCGAGGTGGTGTTCAGGGCGCAGTAGTCGGCGAAGTGGAGTTCGTGAACGGTGGTTGTGGATACGCGCGATTGGAAGTGCATACGCCGTTGATTCAGCAGGTGACCGTCCGTCCTGTAGGCGATGTGGATCCCGGGGCGTTCGTCGCGGTAGGCGTCCATCAGCATGGCAGAGAACATAAGACTGAAGAGGGTAGGCGCCAGTACGCAGCCCTGCTTCACTCCATTGGTCACTGCGAATGCCTCTGAGACAGCTCTTTTGTCCGTGACTCGCGCCATCATACCGTCGTGCAGCTGACGCACCATCTGAGTGAATCGCTCCGGACAGCCGAATTTCTGCATGATCTTTCACAGTCCTTCACGATTCACCGTGTGGAAGGCTTTCGTCAGGTCCACGAAGGTAGAGTACAGGTGGGTCCGCATCTCCTGACACTTCTCCTTAAGTTGACAGGCGGCGAAGATCATATCCGTGGTCCCACGATGACGACGGAAGCCGCATTGGCTTTCCGACAGAAGGCCCTGTTCCAGATGGTTATTGAGGCGATTGAGAAGGATGCGGGCGAAGATCTTCTCGACGATGTTCAGCAGGGAGATGCCGCGGTGATTGTCGCAGACTCGGCGATTCCCTTTGCGCTTGTAGAGATGCACGATGGTTGCGTCGTTGAAATCTTGCGGGACTTCACCTTGACGCCACATCTCTTAGAAGAACGCAGTCAGGTGATCCATCAGTTGGGGACCTGCGTGCTTGTAGACCTCAGCAGGGATTACGTCCGATCCGGGTGCTTTCCCGCTGGAGATCTGCTGCACGGCCCTGATGGTCTCCTGGAGAGATGGCGGGAGGTCGAGATCCACGTTGGTCTCCACTTGCGGCAGACGGGCAATGGTGGCATTGGAGATGACAGAGGGGCGGTTGAGGACGCCTCGGAAGTGCTCGGCCCATCGCTGTAGGATTTGCGTCTTCTCAGTCAGGAGAGTTTTGCCGTCAGCGCTGAGGAGAGAGCAGTTCCCTTCGTCGGCGGTCCGTAGACTGCTTTGATCGCAGAGAAGAAGTTCTTCCATTCGTTGTGGTCCGCGTACCCTTGGACCTCCTCAGCTTTGCGAGCAGTCCAGGCGTCTTGCATCTCGCGCAGTCGTTGCTAAAGTTGGCGGCGACTGCGATATAAGGCAGCTTTGGTGGCATCAGTGGGGTGATCTACGTAGGCTTTGTGTATTCGGTTATTCTCAGCAAGCAGATTTCTGATGGCGGCGTCGTTGTTGTCGAACCAGTTCTGGTGTTGGCGGGGAGCGCGACCGAGGACGGTGAGCGCCGTCGACTGGACCGTGTCTCGCAGTTGACATTAGCAGTTCTCCACGGAGGCGTTCTCGGCAGCGGCGGCGTCGGCAGCGATAGGAAGGTAGTCTAGCCTTTGAGCTAGCTCATTGCTTAAATGAAGATGGTGAGCGGGCAAGGACAAAAAGGCAACATTCAGCTTACCCGGGGGTCGCTTACCTTGTGGTCTCCTGCGAGGCTGTAGGCGAATACGCATCTTCGAGATGACGAGGCGATGGTCGGTCCACCCGTCAGCACCCGCGATCGCCTTCGTCACCAGCACGTCCCGCTGATCTCGCCTCCGGACGAGGACATAGTCCAGCAGGTGCCACTGGCGCGACCGAGGATGCATCCAGGTGGCCTTCTCTCGCTCCGGCAGACAGAAGAACGTGTTCATCAGGATGAGGCGGTGTTCTGCGCAGGTGCGGAGAAGCAACAGACCATTGTCGTTTGAGCCGCGGAGACCGTGGGGACCCAGCACCCATCTCCAGGCAGTACGGTCTGTGCCGACACGGGCGTTGAAGTCACCAAGGACAATCAACTTGTCCGCCTTCGAACCAGTCGCCAAGAGGGCGTGCAGGTCCTCGTAGAATTTGTCTCTGACGGCGTCGGGGTTGGTCATCGTCGGAGCGTAGGTGCTGATGATGGTGGCGAATTTGCCCCCACTTCGGAGAGGCAGGCGGAGGCTCATCAGGCGATCGTTGATGCCCTGCGGCAAACAGGGCAGTCGTCCCACGATGTCGTTCCGAATGGCGAAGGCGACACCCGCGTCCCATCGCTCTGCCCTGGGTCGACCGCTCCAAAAGAAGGTGTAGCCGGCACCCACCTCCTCCAGCTGGCCTTGTTCGGAGAATCGGGTCTCGCTGAGTGCGGCGATGTCCACCTTGTAGCGCGCCAGTTCCCGTGCCACTAGCGCCGTCCTTCGTTCCGGTCGGTTGCTCCTCGGATTGTCTAAAAGGTAACGAACATTCCAGGCAGCCAGAGTGAGCGGACTCACCCTGCCAGTCTGGTGACAACGAGTGCGGCGACGGGAAGGAAATGGAGAAGAAGATGGCGAAGGAGAAGCGTAGGCAGAAGAATAGGCAGAGGAAGAGGTAGAAGAGGTATAATGAGGAGGTGAGCGGTATTGTTGTTGTTTCGATTTTGATTGTTTTGACCATGATTAGACGTGTGCGACCCTGGCTAGCCTGAAGACGGCGTGGTGCCCAGCAATGTTTAGGCCACCTTTTCTAGGCCCTTCCCCTCGTGAGGGCTGGCAGTGCCACCCCTGAATAGGGCTGCCATGTGTCGTTGTGACACGGCCGAACTCCACTATGGGGCCACGACTTCGGGTTGTAGTGGAGAGCGACTTGAATTCGCCGTAAGCCGCGGTCTCCGACGGCGTAGGTGGGCGCGTCAAGGCGATGTCGATGTGGAGATGCATCGCGTCACCGGCTGTTAGCGGCGTGCAGAGACGTACCACGTCACGACAGTGCCGACGCGAGGTTCCATCCGACCTTCCATCCAGCGGAATCCGCCAACCCTGTGCACACGGCACAGCGCACAGGGCCCCCTCACCTGGTTTAGCCCGCCGGTCGAGGCAGTTGCCCGGGGTGTGGCCGCTGAGCAGTGCCCAGCTACGTGAAGCCACAGGTGAGAGTTGAGTGCCAGCAAGTGAACGCTAGGCGTAGTCTCACCTGCAAGCATGTGAGCAACCACCACGACAATCACGTGAACCCACCGCTGACACCCCTACACCCCATGGGGGGGAAGCATAGTGGTTAACTGAATATACGAATCAGTTGGGCATTCCCACTCGTAAGGTGCAGCAAACAACACCCGAGAGGCAGGTTCTCTCACCCCGAAATTAAAAAAACGTGCAGGACAATCAGTGATATATTCCAGCCAGAGTTTACTGTTCTTCGCCTCTGGAGCTTGGCTACTTTCGTATTTGCGAAACCAAAGACATATAGTAAAGGTAATGATGCAGTCAAAATATATGTTAGATATCTGCTGCTCTTCCAATTTGGACATCTGACGCCTGCAAAATTAACAGTCTATTTCGGAAACGAACAGTTCAGTGCACGTGTTCATGCTATGTTTCATCCAAGCAGGCACGGCTGCGCCAGGATTCAGAACACTGTCACATCCTGCTCAGTCCACCCGGTCACAGCGGCCAAATTGCATCCTGTTACACGGCACAAGCAATTGCCCAAGGCGAGATCACCGTCATCTCCTTGTCGGGACTGTGACACATTGCATTTCCATCGGGATTGCACCTTCCACTAACATCGCTGCCAAAGCTGTAACCAGGTAGGACACTGTGCTGGGCCCTGCAACTCAACAATACATTCTGGATGGAAGCCTACACACCGCCACTTCTAATTCCGAGTATCGTTTACGGTTTAAACGCAAGTCCAAACCCCGGTCTGTTAGAAATTCCCTCAGTCTCTTTGCCACTTCCCAGCCCAATGCGGCTAGTCGTACAAAGTTTGTTGACGTTCTACTCAATGGCCACGCAGTCCGCCTACAGTTGGACACCGCCTCAGACATCACCATCCTCTCTGAGAGCCTTAGGCAGTCCCTTGGCAGCCCCACAATGCAGCAGACTTCCCAGTCCGCCACAAGTGCGTGTGGTGGTCTCATCAAGCTAATGGGGCAACTGAAATCAAGAAGTTCCACAAGCTGCTGCATTGTCGTCATTTCATGTTGTTGACGGATCGTAAGTCACTGCTATCTATCTTAGGTTCGAAGAAGGATATTCCTGTCTATTCAGCCAGCCGACTTCAGCGATGGAAAACCATTCTTCTCCGTTACGATTTCGACATTCGCTACTGCGGCATTACTGACTTTGGTCAGGCTGACGCGCTTTCTCGTCTAATCTGCAATCATCAGTTACCTGAAGAAGACACCATGATTGCCGTTATTGCGATTGAGGACAACGTGCGCCGTCAGCTTTCAGACGCTATAGGGGTATCCCTGTCATTGCTGCTATATGAGGCAGACCCACGTAGGAATCCTTGAGAATTTGTTGCCACCTGCTGGCGAAACGCTGCTCCTTCTCCAGCACCGATTCCATTAAGTTATGTAGCCTGGTGTCGGGTAAGGCTATAGAGCTGATAACGGTGTATTACATTTAAATATCCAGAACTGACCTTATCTCTTGAGAATCCCCCCCTCTCTCTCCCCCATAAAGTCTGCTTAGCCCGGCAACTGGTTGTAGACTTATTTCATAATCAACTTGAAGTCTTTTGCTCCTATGTTGTGGTTGTTTTACATTGAAGAAATCAAAAGAAGATATTATAAATAAAGCGGAGGCACATTAATCGTCTAGGACTTGACTCATTCTAAAATGTCCGTTCTATAACTCAACAAATCAAAGTGCTGCGTACGACAACATTTCATCCTACCAGGCAGGGATTTATTGGGACTCTCTGCTGATATGTTACGGATCTTGATGCATCTGGGGCTGGTTACAATCTCCGTCACAGAAGAGGATGTGAAAATGGTGTTGCAATATTACATTGCAGGCCACATCAGACTCGATGTCTGTTACCACGAGAAGCAGTCACCGTTCAGGTCCACTTTGTCAGCATTGACCGCGTCGAGGCCGACTACCCAGCATATTCACACCAATTAACAACATTTCGACCAAAACGTACTGGTCGCTACCGCCCCCGTTCTGATCGTTACGTTCACTGACTCGACCGTTTCGTGGCTGGCTGGCTGGCCTTCACAATGGTGGGCGCCTGAGGCGGAGAAAGGCTGTAAGCTTCCCGTGACAACCAATCACCCCGAATGCGCATGCGGCGCGTGGACTGAAGTCACTGCATATGACAAATAGGGCAGTAAAGAAAATTGATAACATAAGACAAAAAATCCCAGGCATGCTCTCACAAGTGAACGCATGTCATGCGTTGACTGATGATGTACCTTTACAGCATGGCCTGCCGGCAGCTGCTGTCTGCATCGTACGACGTACCGACTAATTTTGTATCTAGTCATCCTTAATTCCGCCGTATTCACCGCTACCATTTGGTGCGACGTCCTTATTGTGGACGATTTCGACACATGCTTGCCTTTGGTCGCCACAAAATCTCACCAGACAGAATCTACTAGTTGAGATTGCGGGACGCAGCGCCTGCCTGACCATAATAAATCGATTAAAGCAAATCTAGCTTTAAAGGTATCATGCTATATTCTACCATCTCAGTGAGAGGTAGGCATAAATATAACAGAAGTGTGCTCTTATTTGCTTATGGAGCCTGAATGCTTCTCCGTCACCTAAATCAGAGTTTTGGAAAAAATGACGCTATCGACTACTTTAGAAGTCAGGCCTACGTGCCAATAAATAGGGAATTTTCAACTCATGAGAGATAGAGCCTCATACCAGGAGACCGGTTATCTCCGCTTCGAAATCAAAAGAGCTAAGCATCCCCTCCACGCTACTTACTCGCGCGGTCTGGCTGCTTCTTTGTCGTCAAAGCTAAGAGAGCTGGGGAGAAGATTCTACTACATGCAATATTAGACGGCGGATATATGCAACTACGTTGAAGCACCTGGCACTCACGAGGTGGATTCTATAACTTCTAAATGAACAAAAGATAGTAAAAAATGCAATGTTGCATACCATCTAAACATTCAATGATAAGAGAGCCCTTACTAGGACTATGAGACTTTGAAATCGGTGTACGCACCTATAAGATCTCCGCAGGTTATATCCAGTACTTGCCGTCAATGTGCTGTGAACTGACTTGAACTTTCTGCCTCTGCAATTATCCATTACATCTCAGATGATCCTGTGTGTTATGCAGTATTATATGCCTCATTTAATTTACTTTGACGTTTTTGCTGCGTTTATGCAAGTAGTTATCGTAGAAATACCACATACGTCTGCTTTTGCTTTTCAATTGATTGGACTTCACAATACTTCGTTTGAATATATAACGTAGTATGACAGTTCGACCGTCAGTTGACACGATGTCCAGTGGGTGCTCCTCGCAGGTTGAGGGCGGGGCGGCAACTTGTGCGCGAATCAGATTACAGTAGCAGACTTCCACATCATGTACTGCACTCTCTCCCTCGCTGTCAAAACAGAGTAAAGAGGATCGGAGGCGGGAGAGGACGCAGGTGGCTGGCACAGCGTAAACCCGCACCTAGGCGAAACAGCACACACCGTGCTCCATTACGTACGCTGATCAGACTGCCGGAGAGGGCTCACTCATTCTGGCAGCCTGGGATGTTCACCCTTTTTCAAACAATCCGCGGAGCAACAGGCTATAACGAAGGACGACGCAGGTCGCCTGGGAACCGGCGTGTTACAAGGTGCACATCGCTGTTTTCAGCGAGACGCGGTTATCCAAACAAGGCCAACTGAAGGATGTGGGTGCCGGCTATATCTCCTTCTGGAGCAGCCACCCCAAGGCAGAGCGACGAGATGCGATTGTCACCTTAGTTGTCTGAAACGACATCGTGGGACGACTGCTCTGTCTGCCGTAGGGCATCAACGATCGACTGATGAGCCTGTGGCTGCCTCTTCGGGGACCCTCCTTCTTCACAATCACCTGTGCCCACTCCCAATCAATGACCAGATCTGTCGAGGTAGAGACCAAGTTCTACGGAGGCCTGCACACCCTCCTGACGTCTGTGCCTAAGGCGGGCAATCTGGTTGTCCTTGGTGACTTCAACCGCAGATTGTGCTGCCTGGAGCGGCGTGGTGGGTCCTCACGAGATCAGCAGTAGCAAAGACAATGGTCTCCTTTTCCAGCGTAGCTGAGGTGAACACCGCCTCCTGCTGACCAATGCTTCTCCCGCCTGTCGATGCAGTGGAAGGCGACGTGGATGCACCCCAGATCGTGGCCCTGGCAGCGCAGTGCACATTATACATACGGACGCCTCGTCATCTCCAAGACAAGGCTACGTCTGCAACCTCGCGGAAGACCACTTGGTAAGCGACCACCAGACAATTTAAATACCACTTCATTTTTTGCCTGTTTACCATTCACATTTCAGTAACCAGCTGACTCGGCGCCTGAAAGACCAACAAGCTCTAGATAAAAACGCCTCCGTGGAGACACGATGGTGCCAACTGCGAGTCGGCGTCCATGCAATCGCCCTGGGTGTTCTCGATAACGCACGCCGTCAATGCCGAAGTTTATTCAACGAAAATGACGCAGCAGTCAGCTGCCAGCTCGCCGAGGAGAACAAGTTGGGTAGGGCCTACATCGACCGCGCATCTGATGCAAACAAAGGGGCCTTCTAACAATCTCGCCGCTTTGCACAACACAAGTTGCAAGAAATACAGGACACCTAGTTGGCTCGCAAGGTCCAAGCAGATCCAGTAATATACGGACCGTAACGAAACAAAGAACTTCTTCGCTGCGATCGGGGCGATCTAAGACCAACAAACCACAGTAGCCGTGCTGCTTCTCAACACTGACGGATCAACGCTTCTGACAAAGAAGTCGTAGATTCTGAAGCCCTTTTTCGCTCAATTTACTTTGCTTACTTGGCGTCCATTTTCTACGATATTTCCACCTTCAGGCCATTCCCGTTGGTTTACGTTTTATTCGGTTCAGGCTTAGTGAACTTTAGAGGTCACTTACGTTTTTGGATGCTTCTTAAATATTTAGGTTACCTTAACTATTTTTTAAAATTGTGTGCTCGTTGAAATGTGATTTATGGCTTCATATAAACAACTGGTGTACGTTTTGGGTAGTGTCTTGACAACATACCACCAGTGGGCAAATTCTTCCCTGTTTTCCTTCTGCCTCACCTGAAAACCCCATTGCAACGGTTCCCTCACAACGCGCGAGTACCTTTGGATTTTTGGGACCCGAGCTTTGCTTTTGTTGATTTCGGAGTGAGAGAACCTGCTTCTCTGGTGTTGAAAGCTGCATCTTATGAGTGAAAGTGCCCAACTGATTCACATTTCTCAACTCTTTTTGCAGCCAGCATGTTGAAGAACTCGGTGGTGGACTGATTTTTGCGTCGGCGTCTTCCTCCATGTCCCTTGGCATGCTTGAAAACCACGTGCTTTTCCGGCCAGGTTTTGTGACTCTTTGTCTTCTTATTGTCTTTGCGTAATGAGCACTATTATTTATATCTTATTTCGTTTATTCATAGGAGGCGATTGTCGATATTGTTTATGTTTCTCGCGTGTTTTTTATGGGTAGTGCGACTCGCCGTCGTAACCTGTGCAGGATTTTGCGTTTTGGAGAGCATCAGACATGTGATAGGATTACCTAGTGTCTTGACCCATACAACTCTTACCCCCTATTGATTAACATTCCGATAAATGTGTTAAGATGGGTGCGGCGACTGGAGCCAAGGCCTGGGTAGCCACATCGTCCTCTCTGATCCTTGGGACGTGGGGAGAAAGCACTGCATGCATCAGGCCCATGGGAGGACCTTTCGCTCCTGCGCGGTTTATCACTTCACGGCACACCTTTGTAGTGTTAAAAGCAATTAAACTACAAACAATAATAAATACCTAAATTAAAATGGGGGATGCTGCGTTTCTAACAAGAAAAATAACGATAGCAAAAGGAGTATAAGAAAAACAACAAAAGGTAAATACTGATACAGACTCACGAAAGATGAAGCCTTCTCCAAAATTGTTGGCCGTAGGGTGAATGTTCTGAGTAAAACCCTGAGACGACGTCAGTAAATGAGGCTTGTCGCTCAGGTGCAATTACGTCCAGTAAAATATAGCCAAAAGATATAAACGTTCCGTGTTGATTGACTAAAACCGATTGAGGCAAATGAGTGCAATCAACGAAACAATAACACCAAGCAGCAGACGGACACAAGAGTCACGCTTTCTAACAAGTCGAAACCAAGTGTGTCTATTTTCGGTAATTTAAACAACAGTGGAGAAACGTTCAGGTGTACAAGAATGCTTAGAGTGAAAAAACGAAAATGTGCGTAAACCTACACAACTCCCCCACCAGAGCGTTTCTTGTACAAAAAACGCTCGATAAAAAATTCAAATTGTTAAGCCAGTAGGTCTTTGAGTTTGGCAGGAAAATGGATATGTCTACCAGAACGAGATGAGGTGCTCAGTGCAGTGGTAGGAAAATCAGGATGGGTGGGTGGGGTTGTCGAGGGTGGTGGTTGAGTGGAGGGGACCGAAACGGGTGGATCGGGTGATGACGGTGCAGAGGAAGTTGGTGGCACAACTGACGGCGGGATGCACTCAAGATAGGCTGGCTTAAGTCTGCCAATGGAGACTGTGTCAGTTCTGTCAGCCTTCTGAATGACGTAATACTTGTCCATCCGCTGAAGAACCTTATATGGGTCATCATACGGGGAACAAAGAGACTTGCGAACCGCGTCATGCCGGACGAAAACGAATAGAGAAGATTTAAGGTGCTCATGCACAAGCACACGTTTCGATGTCAGACGAGTGGGGGTTGGACGCAGTTGAGCCATGTGTTGTTTCAACTGCTGTACGAAGGTGCTTGGGGTGTTGGTGTTAGTCGTGGAAGACTGCACAAATTAGCCGGGCAGACGGAGGGGTGTACCGTGCACAAGTTCGGCAGCAGTGCACTGGATGTCCTCCTTGACGGAAGATCGGATGCCCAAAAGCACAAGAGGGAGACTGTCACTCCAAGAAGCTGATTCTGTTTGAGACATCAGTGCGGACTTGAGTTGACCGTGTAGACGCTCCACGAGGTCGTTGGCGCCAAGGTGGTATGCCGTGGTTGTGAGGTGCACACACCCGAGCAGTTTAGTGAACTCACGGAAGAGGCTAGATTGGATTTGACTTCCGCGGTCAGTAGTAAGGGTGGCTGGAACACCAAAAGTTGAAATCCAATACGTCCAAAATACCATGGCGATATTTGCTGCCGAGGTATCCGAGATGGAAACGGCAATCGGCCATCGTGTGAAACAGTCAACCGCCGTCAGAATATGCGTGAAACCGCGTGAAGGGGGTAGCGGACCAACTAAATCCAAATGGACGTGATGGAATCGAACATCTTGAACAGCGAATGTACTTAGTGGAGAAAATGTGTGGCGGTGTACTTTATTTTTTTTGGCAGGTTAAACACTCCCTAGTCCAAAGAGCTATTTCAGAGTTCATCTTCGGCCAGATAAAACGAGCGCTGATTAACTTACGACAAGCGCGGATGCCAGGATGTGACAGGGAATGTAAATGGTCAAACACTGTCTTGCGGTAGGATAGTGGAACAACGGGTGGCCGTGGGCTGTTGTGGATCAAAACTGCCTCGAAATAGTCCAGAGGAAGGCCACGAAGATGGTCAGGGGTCAAAGCTCCTTTCCTTATGCGACCCGCCTAGTAAATCTGAACCTCTTTCCTTTGAGTTACAGGCAACTTCGCGGAGATCTCTTGCAAGCCTTCCGCATTGTAAAGGGGTTGGATTGCAGTCTGGCCTTCGAGGACTTTTTCCAATTTGCTACCACGACCAACCTCCGAGGCCACTCGTTAAAACTGCGCACTCAGCAGGCACGGCTGGATGTGCGGAAGTTCTCCTTCTCGGTTCGGGTGGTCAAACCATGGAATGAGCTTCCCGCAGATGTTGTGATGTCACCATCTTTACAAAGTTTTAAGAAGAATCTGGACATATTTATGTTCCGAAATGACCAAGAGCGATGAGAAGTCGAGCTCACCCCCTGTCACTCCTTCTCATTTTGTCCCACCATTATGGGCGTTTTCTAACTATTTCAGCCCAGAATATCTATCTGTACACCACACATTTTTTACGTTGCAAATAGGGTACTCAAAGGCTTACGCCTATTTCCCTCAATAAACTGAACTGAACTGAACTGAACGGGTCGAGGAGTGGCTGTGGACCAATCGCACAAAATCGTACCTGGTGATGCGGGAAGTGGTGCATCTCAAAGTTGCAGAGCAGTAGTAGAACGCAGGTCGTCAATGGACTTGTCGCCTGATTGGAGGTCTGCAAGCTTCGCCAGGTCGAAATCGGATGTAAATGTGTTGATGTCCGGACGGGATAATGCATCAGCAACGACGTTGTCGCTGCCTCGGATGTAGCGGATATCTGCAGTAAACTGCGAGATGTAATCCAAATGACGAACTTGCCTGGGAGAGTACCGATCTGGCTTGGCCTTGAGGGCGTAAGTGAGAGGTTTGTAGTCGGTGTGAACCGAAAAATCTCTGCCCTCTAAGAGGTGTCGAAAATGACGAATGACCAAGCAGATGGCAAGGAGCTCGCGAGAGAAAGTACTGTAGCGAGTCTTCGCCGGTTGTTGCTTCTGTGAAAAGAAAGCCAATGGCCGCGACTGATTATTCCCCTGTTGATGCAGGACTGCGTCGACAGAACTATCGGAGGCGTCAGTGGTCAATATCAGCTGTGCGTGAGGGTCAGAACTGCGATGATGCAGCAAAGTGGCATCGGCAAGAGCTTTCTTAGCTGCCTCAAAGGCTGAGTGAGCTGCTGGAGGAAGTTCGATCGGCTTTGCCTTAGACTTCAGAAGATCAGTTAAGGGAGCTAGAGTCACCGCACAGTGAGGGATAAAACGTCGGTAATAGTTAAGAAGGCCTATAAAACGCCGCAGCTGAGTTAGAGTCTTGGGGGCAGGGAATGACAGGATGCTGTGCACCTTCTCTAGCAGCGGTGTGATTCCGTGCTGGTCGACGTGGTGACCAGGGAAATCTAGAGAAGAGACGCCAAAGATACATTTGTCGACGTTCAATTGCAAACCATGTTGCTGGAAACGATCGAATATCTGGCGCAAGTGCGAGGCATGTTCCTCTGCCGAAGAACTTGCGACGAGTATGTCGTCAATGTAGACATACGTGAGTGAGAGTGCCCGTAAGACCTCATCGGTGGAGCGTTGGAAGGATTGGGCCGCGTTACGCAAACCAAAAGGCATGCAAAGGAATTCAAACAGACCGAAAGGCGTTGTAACGGCGGTCTTGGGGATGTCTTCTTTCTCGACCGGAATCTAGTGGTGTGTTTTCACGAGGTCTATTTTGGAAAAAAATAGTTACTCCAGCTAGCGTGTGAGAAAAATCATGCATATAGGGGATAGGGTATCGGTCGGGAACAGTGGCTCTGTTGAGTGCGCGATAGTCGTCGCATAGTCTTCAATCATCAGTCGATTTATTGGGTACCATGTGGAGGGGAGAGGCTCATGGGCTGGAGGAAGGACGAATAATTCCTAGATTCATCATATGCTCAAATTCGTTCCTTGCTATCCGAAGTTTTTCGGGGTGAAGACGGCGAGGATGAGCGTAAACAGGTTGCCCCGTGATGATGATGTGATGTTTAACCGTATGCTGAACCTCCCCGGTGAATTGACAGGGCTTAGTGAGGGACGAGTAGCCCTTCAAAATGTCAGCGAAGGGTGAGCTTGGTACGTTCAACTGAATGCTAACCAAGGGTTCAGAAGAAGCAATGCCTACG